GATGTGTATAAGAGACAGCCTCGGGGCTGAGGGAGGGGGACAAGGTGAATTTAGGAGGTGGGTGGGCTTGATGATTATAGTTTGCAAAAGATTTTTTTTGTTTTGAATATTTTTTTCAAGGCCAATATGATGGGAAGGTGAGGGGAACGCTTTTTTGGGGCCCCTGTTCACCCCTAGATACACCACTACATACAGAACATCATGCCCTAAGATATGGTGACTGAGAGAGCAAGGTTGAACTAAAAAAGAAAGGGGCGGTTGTTTGCTAAAAGTATCTACTGTAGGCAACCCCTTGTACTGTGCTAGAAGTACCTATTTGGTAGCAGGTCAAAACGGCATTAACCAAAACGGCAATGACAAGTACCAAAACAGCAACAGACCTCAACGGCAATGACAAGTACCTAAACGGCAACAGACCAAAATGGCAATTTTAGGAGCGAAATCAGTGCCAAGACTAGCAAGTACCACCGTGCGCCGGCCCCAGTTTATAATAATTTTTTCAATCGTTTTGAAATTGTCCCGATAGGCAAATCAAATATTGCCATGGGCTCTTTTTCCAACTTTCAATGTTTATTATTATTATTATTATTATTATTATTATTATTATTATTATTATTATTATTATTATTATTTTTACTTTTATGACATAAATTGTTTAGCCTCAGTCATTTTGTCTGTATTTGAAAGTTTTATTTGTTTAAATGTTTTACTGCTTTCATATTGTTCCACCCACCCCCAAACTTTTTAATATTGAATTTGTGTGATTATTTTTATTATTATTATTATTATTATTATTGTTATTATTATTATTATTATTATTATTATTATTATTATTATTATTATTATTATTACTGTATTATTATTATTATTATTATTATTATTATTGCTATTATTATTATTATTATTATTGCTATTACTAAATTATTATTATTATTACTACTATTATTATTATTATTATTATTGCTATTATTATTATTATTATTATTATTATTATTATTACAGTACTATTATTATTATTATTATTATTGTTGTTTATGATATTATTGCTGCTGCTGATCATACTGCTATTTAGCCTCATTTTTACCATATTGATTTTAGTACACTTTCATGTTTATAATTACTTTATTTTTTCGTGTTTTTACTTTTATGACATAAATTGTTTAGCATCGTTTTGATCTTGCCGTTTTGACTTAATGCCGTTTTGGTCTATTGCCGTTCTAGTCAAAAAGTGTTGCCGTTTTGGTTTTTTGCCATTTCGGTCATTGCTGTTTTGACTTATTGCCCTTTTGGTTTATTGCCAGAAACCACCAATTTAGTATATATGAAATTACACATTAATACTTTTTAGCAGAGTAATTATTTTGAAAACTATATTCTCTAGATTTTATTTTGAATTGAGGAGGCTTGAGAAAATGTTGAAGTGTCTGTCAATGGTTTGTGCTTATTTTCAGTTCTTAAAGTCATTGAGTCAATGTCGTTTAAAGAAAAAAAGGGATCAAAACAATACCAGAAAGCTCTTGAAACAGAATTCGCTAAAGACAAATTTCTACCAAAAGCTAAGGTAAGATAGTATAATACATACTCCAAGTATCGAAATGCACGCCATTGTGTCGGGATTCAATATTTTGACACATGATGTACTGTAGTTTTTTTTCGGCATTTTTAACCTTTTGATTTAAATTTTGATGGTTTGGTAGACTTGTCTTGTCTTTTTCTTTTACAAAATACAAAAAATTCAGTGTTTTATCGTTCTATTTCATGTCGCGTTTTCTTTTATTTCAATGTAGATTTTTGATGTGTTAAATGGTATTGTGATTTTGTGATGATTATTGGTTTCAAACATTTCTATTACCTGTAGCTTTTAGTGTATATTTCTTATATGTTTAAAGTGTATGTTGGTCTATGAATATTTTTAAATTCTGTACAGTGCCGATGAACATTTTTAATGGATATTGTTTTGCGCTTTATTAAATGAAGTTATTATTATTATTATTATTATTTATGTCATCATCAGGAATGAATGAATGTAAAGGTAAGGTAAAGTACACAGGCTATACTTTAATGTAGTTGTATGAATAATGTTTGAGTGAAATTTAACATAACATTACTTTTCGCTACCAAACATTATCTTTTCCTATAGACACAGATCGCACTGTAATTTCTCCATAGTAATACTAATACCCACTACTGTGTATGTCACTTGCACGGCTGTAAACGAACATTGCGGTATGTGATTATTGAATCAAACAATGTTCATAAACAACAAGTAATAGTGGTTAAGTAATTCATTTCATAAGCATTTTATTTGATAAACTAACAAACCTAATTTCTTTACGTCTAGTTTCAAGGTGGAAATACGGCAGCAGAAATTCAGAAGAGACGTTCCGACCACATATCCCACTACATCCTTCGACTAGCGTATTGCAAATCGTAAGCCATTTCACTGCCGTATACAGTAAACTGCTGAGTATTTGTTCAACTCTCATGGGTTGGATATATCTCTGAATAATTGTTATTTTTTAAATCTCAGATAATAAAATAGTAGAACATAAAGCAACAAAATAATTGTTTCAGTTGCATACTAGGTGAAAAGCTTTTTAATGTTTTAATGTTTTAATGCTTTTTAATGAGTATTTCCAGTGGCGGATTTTTGTAAGTGTATCAAAACAAATAATTGTATGTAAATATATAAACAAATAAATACATAAAAAGCCTCTGTGCACTAGGTAATTGAGCTCTATTTAATACTTCACATTAAAGTTTTTAAAGCCAAACTCCGGAGGAAAAATATGCTTGATATGTGGTAGAACTGACACAAAAAGCATATTTGATGAAAAACTCAGGAGCGGTTAATAATGAGTTGAGGATTTTGGAATATTTAAGAACTGGGGTAAAAAGCTGGAAAAAATGGGTGGTTACCCCTCTTTTTCACCCTACTTTTAAAATTGTTTAAAATTTGCATCTCATTAACCGTTCCCGAGTTTTTCGTCAAATATGCTTTTTGTGTCTTAGAAAAATCGGTTCTACAACATATTTCCTTCACTGCCAACAGCAAGTACACTTGCAGGATGGAACGATGCTTTATAAACCAAGTCTCTTGTTGAGGCCTAGTAGACCAGGCTATAATTGAGATAGGTGCCACTTGGAGAGGTAGAAATTCTCATATGGTTTTTCTAGACCAGTTTTTTTTATGGGGAATCAGAATATGTGAGGTAAAAGAGGCGTAACCTGAGAACTTTCGCGTGAGGGCGCTTTTTCAAAATGGCCGCCAAAATCCAATAAACTACATATATATGGGTAAAATAAGCACAGAAGAGGTAGGTTTGATAGGAGTAAAGTATAACTAGCTATAGTTATTAATGTGAAGATTTCGAGAGGCAATTGAGGGCACTTTTTAAAATGGCCGCCAAAATTAAAGAACAATTTAACAGCAGCTTCAATACCCTAAATAATTTTTTTTAATTTACAAAACATGAATGTAATAACTGCTGTTTACTGTTTAAACCCGAAGTAACATATTTTAGGGTGGTAAGCTAACTCACTTTTGGAAATGTAAGTAAAATTCCCCCTTATATTAGCCCTTTTCTGTTTTAAAAAATGAAAAAAATATCACCAGAATCCTAACAAAATTCCAGCTTACAAATATACGGTTGTTTTTCATTGTTTTTGTGTACTACACAAGGTATTCAAGAGGACCACACAAATAACTACCATAATTTTTATGTATAAAGGCATTAATTCATTTATTACACAATTGTCCTTTACTTTGTAACCGTAGGGGCCTATGTTGAGCAATAATCTTCATGTATTGCTAATATTACTGCAATTTAAAAGTCTTCGTCTTTATTATAAACAGTTCTTGAACGTCCATGGGCATCACTGTCTCAATCATTTTTTGCTTCATTTGATCATTCCATCTGTTGCGAATACTATTTTTACTGACCAAATCATTTAAGTCTGCTTAATTTCCATTCTTTAGCGATTAAATTTTCTCAAGTGCTCAAGGGTCTGCTTGCAAAGGTAGCAATGATATGTCTGTGATCTTGTTGTCTCTATTGAACATTTCTTCTTGATTTACACGTTTCCCCTTAACTCCACGCCACAGTCTTCAAGTTCCTCAGATATCTTCTGTGACTAAAAAACTAAAACTTTGAAGTTATCAGAAATTGTCAACGAAACCTTGCCTTTGACTATGGAAGCATGAGATCCAATAAGGGATGATTTCTTCGCTGGTGAAAGTTAATGCCACTTAATTTGAACA